AAATCAATATTTTTACAATAGGAAACAAACAAGAACAGCCAGAAAAAATGAGAAGAACATAAGAAGATAAGAGAACATTTAAAAAAAATGAAAATGTAATTAACTGTAAAAAACAAGGATTAGATGTGATTACACATTGAGGTAGATTTTTTATAATTTACAGTGAGCTCACAGTAGACGCAGCCTACAATGAGTTACAGAGAATGTCCTGGGAAGTAAAGGCTACCAGTGTGATGTTGTCCTATCCATATGTCCATTTAATCTGGCTTAATAAGCAAGTTAACTGAAACCTTTTTGGAAGAGTCACAAGATCTCAAGATCTGATGCAAGATACCTTGCAGTAAATAGAACAAGGATTGCCATGGCAAGGGTGGCCTTTAGTAAGATGCAAAAGGTTCTCACCAATGTATGTCACTTGCAGTGGGAAAAAGAGTGTTAAAGTGTTACATAGAACCTGTGATGTTATATAAATGTGAACTATGGACAATACAATAAGTAGACTAAATGAAAAACACTTACTTCGTGTCAGAGAAGTGAGTTCTGAGAAGAATGCAAAGAATATCATAGAAGGATAGAAAAACAAATGAAGCAATCAACAAGACAGATGAAAGTCGTAAACCTATTAGAACGATTATACATAGACAGTCAATATTTTGTGGACATGTTACGAGAACGAACTGACTCGAGAACTTGGTAACCACTGGCAGGATTGATGGAAAGAGGAAGGCAAAAAGATAAATACCTAGAAGACCTAGCCAGATGAGCAGGGCGAGAAGTAAAAACTGAACCAATCCGTGAATCTGGTGAGCGTGTGAGATAGTGAAAAATGACAGCCTACGCTTACCGGCACAGCACATAATGATGATGACGATTAAGTCTACAAAAAATTGGGTAGTATTATATCATATACCCTCCACGTGTGAGTTCTGGGGCCCTATTATAGGGAAAACAAGAACAGAACCACTGCCTACCCAAAAGGATGTCGTAAGAATCGACTAATTGGGAGGTTCCTTTGAAATTGAAGTGCATCTGCCTGAGAGGCAAGGAACCAGCAGTCTGCATACAAATGAGTCAGATCTGTAAAACCGATGCACACGCAACACTCAGGTTCTGGAACAGGACTGCAGTCCAAAAGTGGATGAACAACCAGAACTTTCCGCCAGAGTTTACAGCTGGTAAATGCATAGAAGAAGAAGAAGATATCATATACCCCAATGTGCCAATGGTGTGAAATCGTCTTTTGTACTTTACTAACAATTAGCATTACTGCATTCTGTATTCATTCATTATCCTGCTGTGCCATTACATGTCCCATAAGGCTCACAGTCTATCCTCCCTTCCACTCTATCCTGTTCAATCCCTTCGATATCATGAATGGAATCCAGTTCAGCACTTCTGGCCTCTCTCCTCAACACTAACTTTAAGGGTTTCTTCTGGACGTCCTCACTTCCTCAATCACTGTACAGTCGAGTCCACTTAAGTCGAACTCGGATAAGTCGACATGACGAGCTTAGTCCTGGCAATTTTCTCTATTGTGTGTGCTGTCTGGATAAGTAGAAATCCTGGTAAGTGGAAGCATTTTCTTAGGTCCCTGCGACTTCTACTTATTCAGACTCGACAGTATTTCCATTTTTAGTGTGTCTTGATTTTCTGCTTATTTCTTCTCAGGATATGTCCAACATTGTGCCACCTTCACTGTGTTATAACTATTATAACTAATAAATTTTAACAAACACCCAACGTGACCCACATTTTGTACTCAGAACTGTACAGTAGTAATTTAATTCATGACAATGTTAAATATTTTCTGGTTTTAATTGCGAAAGATTTAGTCTTTTCCCGTATTAAATATGTATGTCCCTCTAATACTCTCAAGATTATGTTGTTAATTATAATTATAATAAATTACAACAGATTACATATTATACGAGGTAAGATAAAATAAGTATGCTTTTTAAACAGTTGTGATAACCATAAAGTGTTACATATTTTGGGGAATATTTAAAGTGATGTGGGTTATTATTTTGCTCTGGGATACTGCCACCTTACACATAAATTAATATAACTGCAAGAAAAATAAATCTATCAAACAAAACAAACAAAATGACATTTAAGTGTTTGTGTTCACCGGTTCATTTAACTGTTCCTGTTCACCGGTTCTAAACTCTCCAATGAAAAGTTCTGGTTGTTCATTCACTTCTGGACTTTGGTCTTGTTCTAGAACTTTGAGTTTTTTTATGCACATCTGTTTTACAGATCTAGCTTATTTGCATGCAGACTGGTCCCTCACCTTTCCTGCTGTCGCACTTCATCTTGGAAAGAAAACTCTTCTCAATAGTGGCCTTGTATGACATGCCTGTTGTAGAAAAAAAAGGGTGGGTGGGGGGCACAATGGGCTTCTCGCCCCCCCCCCCCCCCCCAACCAAAAAGGGGGCCAGAACCCACAAAAGGAAAATATCAGATATAAGACCAGAAACTAAACAGGATCCTTGACCACATTGAGGTATGAGGTGAAGAAAGACGGATCAACATCATGGTACAAGGGTGTAACCCATAAGTGCTCCGTTCTTCTTCTAACTCAAGTCTGAGTCCGAAGATGCTCAGCACAGTAAACAGGCTCTGTAGCACCAGCCAGAATCCTAAAATACTTTGGGTAGATTTTTAACTCCAAATTTTGCCCAGGCAGCGCCGTTAGGCTACTCTTTTTGATTTTCAAATGCCAAGGGATTTTTTTACGTGCATCACAGTGCCCACGGGCATCCGACCTCACTACCCAGAATCTAGGGGAAATTACTAGAAGTCCAAGTCCATATAAAAAAATCCCAGCCCTTACCGAGGATTGAACCAGGAACCTCTAGCACTCAAAGCGGACACCACTCATCGAGATCACCCAGCCCCCCCCCCCCCACTCCCCTCCTGAATGCACTGAGAAAAAGGGTGACGACAACAACTAAGAAAAGGGAGGAGAGGTGAAGACTTGAGATGTTCAAAACTCAATAAACCACAAACTGTTGTGAACACCTTCCTCCCTGTGTGGACGGACACCTGAGCTAGCCCAACTGAAGCACCATGCAAACACAGACAAGACTGGCGCACACACAAAAATGACCTTCTCCTGGAGCATGGTTAAACTTAGACCACACCCTGCCCATTTACAGTGCGTTTCAAAACTCATGCTATCACACTTGAACAAATATCTTGAAAACGCATGTAAGTATCAATACAAATTTGTGCACGTGGCCCATGCCTTTATGATCCTATAATTTATAATTTAGCAGATGCTGCTGTTTTCCCAAAGCTGTGAATTTCTTTGATCTTTATTTGACTAATAGATTCTGTACCGCTGAAAAGTAATTAACACACATGTAAAGATTGTTTGAAAATCAGTTCACACATACAGTGATGCATGGTGATTATTTTGATAGCCTATTCCCCAATCAATGAAACATCCGCAACTCACAAAAGACTTATGTTGAAGGTGATCAGCTGAGAGAAAGCTATGGCATGCTTGCCATTTCATGTTTTGAAGTTCCCCTTACTCAATTTACTTAAGTTACTATAAACATGTTGACTGTTTGCTATGAATCGGTGTCTGTTTTTTAATATCACCGCAAATAAGACCTAATGATCATCAACAGGGTGCAGGCCAAATTTCAACAACTCACACCCAACAGTTATTGAGTTACAGATTTTTAAAGTTAGCAGAACTTCTGGAGCAGACTATAGAAACAGAGGAGAGGGGGAAATTACACTTTACAAATATGAAAAGGAAAAATCAGAGTTGGTCAGCTTTATAAGACATAATGGTAAATAAGCACATCATAGTGATCGGAAAGTAACGATTCTTTCATTCATTCATTCATGCATAATGTTGTGACATTTATAGATCACATGTGGTGCCCAGTCAATATTGTATTCTATACAATCCTGTGCAGTTTTTCAATACCAGCTACAGAACTCAGTAATAATGTAAGGGAGTAACATTTGGCACATTAAACCAATAGAAGGTCAGCACATAAACCATGATGTGTAGTAGCTGAAAAGCTAAACTGCTTTGCTGATTGTCCCAGGCTTAAATCCCATCGCAGACAGGATCTGTTTGTGACTATAGGCTCCTGTGTGTAACCAGCATCATAAAACGGGTACCTGATACATAAAACTGGTACCTGATAGATTTGTCAGAGGGGAAAGGGAAAAGAAAGGGGAGGGTGGGGGCAACATTAGAGTTTTAAAGCTAGCAAGCAAGCTGGTTACTGTTAACATAAAACATCTGACCAGTTAGGTTAAGGTAGTGATCCCGTGGTAGCATTAGCACACACAACCCGCCAACTTTGGCTGCCAATTAGTTTCAGCAATTTTCATCAATCATACCATACTTACACACACATACAGATTACAAGAGAGGAAGAGAGAGAGAGAGTGAGAGAGAGAGTCTTTCAAACCCCTTTCATGCAGTATTTGCATTCAACCAAAAAACCACATGCCCGCATACATACACAGAGACATATATACACATAGGCAGACGCACAAAATTAGGCATATAAACAGTGAGAGTGAGGGGCGACTGATCGAATGACTGGAACTCTTGGCTCTCATGTGGTTGACACGGGTTTAAATCCTCGATAAGGTTATGGGTTGTTCTCGTGGAGGTAAGCGTAGGGGGTCTCCACATGAAGTGATCTAGCCATCTGCCTCATGCACAAAGGTCATTGGTTTATTTTATGGCTATGCTGTTCAGTTCATGAGTGCAATTTTTATGGAGATTCCTTGGGATCATTGTCTTAGTTACAGAGTCAGTGCGCTGGTCATTCTGCAGAGAGAGAGAGTAAGCCATATGGGATAAGAACTAGTGCAAAGAAGACTATCCTCTCAGCTTAGTAAGAGTGCAGAGTCACACAGACAGACCAAGAGTGACCACTCTTTGTTCCACAATAATTGTTAATTCACCTGACAAATGACACATACAGACAGGATCAAGAAAACAATACGCACAAACTTACTTTAGTTTGCTTGCATAATCCAATTCAACAGCACTCTTCTCCTTGAGAAAATGAACATAGCGCTCACAAAAGTCAATGCCCTTCTGTGTGTGGATGCCAATATTATCCCACTGGTCCTGCAAGATCAAAGTTTTCAATAAAAAAACAATTCAACAGAAGGCTAACTTTGGTAAATCCTTAACGACCAGGAATCGTAACTCTTCTTCCCCTTAGCACTGACAATCTGTAAACCCCAGCAGAAAGTTCTGTTTGCCTTCCACTTCTAGACTTTGGTCTTGTTCCAGAAGCTGAGTTTAGAGCACATAACCTTTTAAAGATTTGACTGATTTGTATGCAGACTGTTGGTTCCTTGCCTCTCAGGCAGATTCACTCCAACTTTGAAGAAAGCAACCCTAATTAACCAGCTTCTACCTGTGAGGGTTCTAGGGCCGCATTGTGGGGACAACAAGACTAGACGCACTGCCTCCCCAACAAGTATTTTGTGGGGGTCGACTAACTGGCAGCTTCCTTTGAAGTCGGAAAGCATCTGCCCGAGTGGCAAGGAACAATCAACCACACACAAATAAGCCAGTAAATCTGATGTACATGCAAATCTCAGGCGCTGACACAAAGCCAGTCCAAACGGACGAACAGCCCGGACTTTCTGCTGGAGAATACCGCCGGTGAAGAAAATAGTAGCAGTTAGCTCCTATGACATGCTTAAAAGGAGAGCTGCTCGTCTATTTTTGTTGCCCCCCAAAAGGGTCCCCGTAATCAACACAGGGAGTTTCTAACATAATTCAACACTTATTTTTTTATTATTAGTCAATGACTATCTTCTCTACGCAGGAGACATTAACCTCTGGCAAGACACCTGATGATGATGTAAACATTAAAATATTTACACATTGAAACCAAAGGTACATCTATAATTTCAGCTGCAGTATTCAAAACATATTTATTATTGTTATGATTTAAAATTTTGATGAGTTACAAATTTAAAAAAAACATATTATTATTTATTACTGTTTCAAATGTGTCAAATCGGGCAAGGGCAGTGATTATTAAAATTGTAAAATTAATGTTAATTAATCATACAGTTAAAAGTTAATTTAAACACGAAGCCTAATGGCTCATGAAGTTGTTTTCAGTAAAACTGAAAATCTTAAGCGGATCAGACCTGTCTAGAGAATGAACCATCACAATCTAAAATTGCCTGATAAGTGAACCAAGATGAAGGGGCATGGTAAATGTTGCAAGATAACTACTTATTGTGAACTCTGTGATGTGCCCCTAACTCATGTGGTGTACAAGGATAGCAGATATCTATAGCAGCAGATTTTGCTGTATTGTTACAGTTTACATCAACATATGGGAGCCATCCTGGTGCGGTGGTTAGACACCCACCTGTGGATTGGAAGATCTTTGGTTTGGGTCCTGGCAGAGCCGGATTTTTTTTTTTTTATGACATTGGGTCACAGGTTGACTCAGCCTTGTGTGGGTACCAGGCAGAGTCATGGGAAATAAAGGCGACCAGCCTGATGCTGACCACATGACCCATGGGTACCAGAGCTTCACTCTGGGATAAATAAGAGGAAAGTCGCTGTAGCTACGGAGCTGCCTGCAGATGGTGACACAGGCGGACAGTCTCTTATCGGTACTGGTGGCAGAGCACTTTTGGTTTATAAGCGTGTGAAAATGATGCTGGTTCACATCTCCCGACTTTACCTTTCTTTTTCTACATGACCCACCTGTGCCAATTGGTATAGGTCTAGTCTTTATGCATGAATAGTTTTCACAAAAGTAAACAAATCACATTGTCTAGTAACTCTATATATCTCTCCACTAAATAGTCATTCATTCATTCGTTGTTCTGTTGTGTCATTATAAGTCACAGAGGGCATCACTGTGTATTTCCCCATTCCATTCCGTCCTGTGCAATCACTTTGATATGAATGGAATCCAGTCCACCACCTTTGGCTTCTCTCATCAACGTCTACCTAAGGGTTTCCGTAGGACAGGGCTACTAAACTAAATACACCGGATTATACATCCTAGCCTGCGTATCTTCTTCAGCATTTCGAGTAGTTAATGTTCAGTGCTGTAAATATCACATGTCTCCATTCATCTCTGTGACTGGCTTTATCTTTCCAGTTGGTAACTCCAAGTGTTTATAGGTCTGCCTGTAGATTATCTCTCCACGTTCTTCTTGGTCTGCCTCATAGTCTACTCCCATTTATTTCTTCTCGGTACACAGTTCCTCTCTCTATTATCCATCATTCTCTCAATATTCCCCAACCAATAGCCCTCATGAAGCTACTAATTTAGGCAACCAATTAAGGGTAATTCTTCCTTTAAGTCAGAGTGCATCTGCTTGAGAACTAGGAACCAACAGCTTGCCTACAAATAAACCAGAACTGTAAATTTGATGTGCACACAAATCTCAAGTTCTGGAACAAGACAAAAGTCCAGAAGTGGACAAGCAGCCAGAACTTTCCATTGAGAGTTTACAGCCAGCCAACGCTAAGAAGAAGAAGAAGAAGAAGAAGAAGAAGAAGAAGAAGAAGAAGAAGAAGAAGAAGAAGAAGAAGAAGAAGAAGAAGAAGAGCATATACTGAGTTCAAATTACCTTCCTATTTACAAAAACATCAGCAGGCCCGCTTATACTTTTAATTCTCATAATATTCATCTTGAAAAAAAAAATGAAACTCTTCACAAGTCATCAACATGTGAAAAGGTTATGAAAACAGGACTTTTGCTGTTCTAACAGAAGGAAGTATTAATTTTAGACTTCCTACTTCACCACTGTCATTTTTCTCCAAGCTACAACAGAAACTATGACTCAGTCACTGGTTGTTAGTGATTTCTTCCCCCCTTTACATCAAAGGGGAAGAAAACTGGAAATTTATTAGGCAAATTTTCATTTCATTAATCTTGGTAAAAACCAAGACAGAGATGGAAAAATGGTGTTGCTGAAAGGCATATCCACTTAATTTCCATGGCACTTATTTATTTACTCAGATCCGAATGTCATGGGTCAAAACTGCAAAGAGCCGGACTTGCTTCCACACATGACCATGGCTCCTTGTTCAACCCAGTCTTTAATGGGTACCTCCCTGTGTGGGATCCGGGGCCCTACTGAAGGGAAAACAAGAGGAGACCCACTGCCTACCCCAAAGCATGTCGTGAAGAGTCAAATAACTGAGAGCTTTCTTGAAGTCGCAGTGCACCTGCCTGAGAGGCAAGGAACCTGCAGTCTGCACACCATCAAGTCATATCTGTAAAATGGATATGCACACAACACTCAGGTTCTGGAACAGGACTAGAGCCCAGAAGTGCACAAACAACCAGAACTTTCCACTGGAGTTAACAGCCAGTGAATGCAAAGAAGAAGAAGAAAATGGTTACCAGGTAATGCCCCCCAAGGGACAACTGGTCTATGTAAATGAGTCTAGTCTCATTTATCGGTTGTACCACTCGCGTGCAATGGGACCACTAGCTTACTTAACATGATTCACTTCCGCATGTCAGAATTAACAAAACAGTATCAAAATCTGCCAATGAATTACCAGCTATGCCGAAAAAAAACCAATGTTTACACAATGACCTTAATTATCTGGGGGTCACAACAGCTTGTAAGTAGAGTAAAGGACCCTGCTTCGGACATACAGTGCTAGACTTATTACAAACTGGCCATTCATGGGATGGGTGATATGGTCAACAAAAACAGAATTTGCTGAAACTGAAGAGGGTATGAGATCATGTGTGGTAGTGTGAATCAGACACTGAATTAGTGAACAGATCATTCTCGATGCCACTGCACTCAATCTTTCACTTTTACTACCTTATTTCATATCACTATACTACCATCATTAGGTGCCTTGCAGACTGGCATGGGCGATCATACCTCTCCAAAATCTGTGATCTACTGCAGCATATATTAGTTCGTGTGCTGACACACCTCCATGCAATGTATCAAGACTGTCAAGAATCTTCTCTCATTGCCTTCATCTCCTCATCCCCCTTTCCACAGATCTTTCCAGTGGTCACAACATGTTCCATTTTCCCTTTTCTCATAACAGGGCAGAATAATGATGACTGTCTCCTTCTGATGTCTGTGATTGGTTGTCTTCGGGCTCCTGCCTCTTTCAAAAACCTCTTGGCTGCTCTTTTTGGCTGTCCCACGTATTTTAAGCATTCTTCTGTAAAACCACATCTCTGAGGTCTCAAGAAATTGTTTGGCCTGCCTACTAATTGTCCAGGACTCACAGCCATATGTTAAAACTCGATGTATGTAGCAAGCAAGAATTCTTTTTATAACCTTTAATGACAGATACTGCATAGAATATTCTTCATTTTATTAAATGCAGTTTTTGCATTTTTCTGTTTCTTCAATATACTACAAATAACACAATAGCTAAGTCTAAGTATATCTGTCTGTGTGTAGGAGGTTCTTAAATTATGTTGCCAATTGTTTTGGTTTCGTTCACTATTTATTCTTCGCTTTGGTCATAAAGCCACTTGTCTGTCTGCATTTCTGAAAGTAGTGGTATGGGGAGGGGGGGGGGTGATTTGCTTATTTATTGTGAGAACCTGAGTCAGAAAAAGATTGTTTAGTTTAGAACAGGGATAGAAATAGAAGAGAAGAGTGATTCGTGTTTTTTTTTTTTTTTTAGTACCAATAATACTCGGGAATACTCCTCAGAATAGAATACCCTAAGTAATTCCTTGCATGTATACAACCTAGTATTATTCTAAATCCCAGTGCATAATCTACTATGCGATACGTTAAAAAAACACCGTTATTATTACCCGTTCTGTTGTTAATGTTGTAATGGAGTTTTTATTTTAAATACCAGAGGAGAGGAAGAGAACGGACGTCGACCGACGAGATCGCAGAGAATACAAGAAAATAAATTATTATTTTTATGCAAGATGCATCTTTGTTGAACAAGCAACTAACAAAGCATCCACCACGAAAACTTACCCACAACTCTATTCCCCAACTCATGATTAGAAATTAGCGAAGCACATAAACAGATGCGTTATCTCCACCACAGACGTCGCCTAGCTTTCCCCCACCTTCTGACTTCTGTCTGATCAATCTAACATGGCGGTGCGTGAGTCACGTTTGTCTCGCGAGAACCTTCTGTTTCTGCTGTGGGATATCGATGAATTCTTCTTCTTATCCTTCTTTATCTGCTTCTTTGAAACATTATTATTGTTATAATGTATCTTCTCCTTCTTTGTCTTAAGGGAGATATCAGTTAAATAACTTTTTTTTACAACTGTATCTCTTCTTCTTCTTCTTGAGGATATTTATCAGTGTAACAACTTCTATTTGTTGTTCTTCTTTTACTACTACTACTACTACTACTACTACTACTACTACTACTACTACTACTACTACTACTACTACTACTACTAGCACTACATCTCAGAAGATCAACTACAAGAGCAAGAGGACGGCCGCGGAAATATGGATCGACAACATTAAAGACACTCTACGCCTTCACGGCATGACAATAGCCAGTGGCAGCCAACGTGCTCTGGATCGCAAATTATTCCTCCCCCTCAAATTATGCAATACAGACATGAGCTGCTTTGTTTGTTGCCATGCAGAGGTTAGGATTTTTATCTGAGATGTTGGTTCACCTTGTGTGTGTGTGTGTGTGTGTGTGTGTGTGTGTGTGTGTTATATAATGTTTAACAGTTTTGTTCCAGGCAGCTGCACCTTTTCTTGTTGACCCCCTCTCCTCATCTTTCTCATTGTCCTTATCCTCCTCCTTCTCCTCCTTCTTCTTCTTCTTTTTTTTTTTTTTTTCTTCTTTTTTTTTTCTGGGCGATCGAACGTTCATATAGCAACTTGCAGCTTAAAACAGCAACCGAAGAAAGGTGATAATGTGAAATGACGAACCAAGACCGCTTATCAGCATTGCATATGAGGATGATTCACGTTGGATGATTATATATTGCTTAACCTTCCGTTGCATTTCTCTCATACTATTTTTGTTCCCCACAAAGTAACAGCAACATTGAAAGGTGGGAATTTGTTATTTCTTCAAAGTCCAACTTTAATTCGCATGTTTCACAAACGTGACACCAGGTCTGAAATTGGTAATATATGGGCCTATTAAACGATCTAGGAAGCTTTGGAAATGATTGATTGATTAATGTTTAACCCCATCAGGGCATCACATCGAGCGATAAACACCCGGTGAGACAAAGTGCCACCATTCGGATGAGGATCACAAGGGGATAAGTCCCAAAAAACCTGGTTCAACCCATAGAGTGGGTTATATTAGGACCCTCGACAACAGCCAGGGTGCAGTTTTAAAACAAAAATAAATTGCGTCTAGTATTGGTACGCAGTTCTAAGATACTCTGGAAATGGTGTATTATCGTAAGCTGAAAATAATCAGCTGCACATAAAAGATATGAAATTAATAAATGCCTAAGGACAATTTGGCAATTGGAAAATCATTTATCTGAATGAAAACAGCCATTTAGCTTCAGCCAGTATTGAAATAGGGTTTACTCCTGACTGAGTGACTGACTGACTGACTTTATACCCCACCAGGACATCACACAAGCGATTAAACACCCGATGACACAATGTGCCACCATGTGGATGAGGATCACCGTGGAGAGGTCCCAGAAACCGCGTTCAGCCTTTAGGCCATATTTATGGCCAGGCTATATTGCGGCCCCTGGCAAAAGCCAGAGCAGGGCTTTAAATAACGAAAAATGGACGAGAAATATATATTAACAGCATTGTAGTTAACAACAGCCCTGTTAGTACCTATATTGGGCTGGGTCGAACTGAGAGTCAAATCTATTGGACTGTTGAAACTATTATCTCGTCACTCCTCCCCACTCCTGAATGCTATACCCAAACCAATTACGGTAGTACAACCCCCGTAGTACACAACATAGGCAGTTTTGTAACGATCATGTGTTGCATTTGCAAAATGATCCCTGCCTTAGTAACTTCCGGGGAGCCGCTGTGATGTAGAGGATAGACGCTCGCTTGCAGAGACGGAGATCGTGGGTTCAGGTCTTGGGCTCAACCTTAAACGGGTATCGAGCAATGTCTTGACAAGTAAAGGCGGGGACATCACACACCGAGTGCCGATTGGTCTAAAAATATTGGTCTAGCCCTATATGCCCAATACGCATGAAGGCGCGAAAGTGTTTTTATTTACTCCAAAGGCGGGCTCTCTAGCGTAGTTGGCTAAACGGGATTGCGCGGTGAGCGGGTGACGAACTCCTTGTGGTCCGGGTTCACTCCTTGGGGTAGGCAGAAAAGCCACATTTTCTATTAGATTTTACGGTAGTTTCAATGGAATCAAGGCCGAAAGGTTGCGATATCCATAATACCGAGCCTAAGGGTTAACAACGCATGGCTTCTGGATTTTAAAACAAGCAACAATTGGCTCCAAAAGAAATTCAACACTAATGAGCTTGGAATTGAGCAGACAACCTCGTATAAATTCACTATCCTTAAACAGTCGAGGTTATGTCCCTTCAAGCGTTTTCTGTAACTGAACTAGGTTTGAGGCGCACCAAGAATATGGGCAGGCTTCATATTTTTGTTATAGACAAATCAAAACCTTAGCAGTTAAGACCATTTGATGCCCTAAGCACTTAAAAGGTTTTGGGCTGTTCGCCCTCCTCCTCCCAGATATTATCAGAGGTTGTCCCTCCCCCTCTTTCCCCCCACCCTTTTTAACAGCATTATAGACCCCTGGGCAAACCAGTTTCATGGGAACCCTACGACACCCAATCACAGGAATAACAATAGGGGTTATCTGGGTAAAGATTTGACATCCTAGCACTCACAATAAGCCTATAATCGCCCCGTCTCCTATACCATCAGCAAACAATGATTGTTTTTACAGATGGCATTCCTTGTCATCTGGTTAACTAAGCGTCGAGTTGTGCCTAGAGCCCGCAGATACTCACTGCTGTATCATTCTTTCCAGGTGCGGGTTTTCAAAATCTTCATTTTACTCGTTACCTTGCCCCAAAGTCAAGAGATCACCGATACCTTTTGCAATTGCAGCATACCCCAAGTGGTGCCAGTCCAGCCAACCTGCTCCTTTCTAAACACGCCTAAATGGCCCGAGCAAAACATCCATGTAACTCTCACCACCTGCGACCTCTGATTTGATTTGATTTGATTCAAGAACCGACATCACAGAACTCGGGGCATTCCCATAAGCACTTCGTCCCCATCTTCAGCAGCCAGCGAAGACTTCCGATACTAATGGTGCCAAAAACATTCTGATAAAACTTCCGTCTTGCCTTTCCTCTGAGCCTCGAGCATCTGCCAGAACCTCTCGTCACTCCCCGCTGCATCAATCTCACCACACTGTGGTGATCCATCTGCTCCTCCGAACTGTACACGCTCTCCCACGAGGCACTAACCACGTCTGCCTTATCATGTATCAGTATTCCACCGAGTTGTGCTGAACCAGCTAGTCTGTCCGCCTGTTAATTTCCCAACACACCGGCGTTCCCCGGTTTAAAAAAATCCAGACAATACTCCTCACTCGTGTCCTCCGCAGCGAAGCATGCCACTATGCAAAAAGCATACCAGTTCTGGTTTTCCTCAGCATGCTTTCTGAATCAGTTACAATCACGATGTGTTTGTGTGTGTCGTGTTATCAAGCTTGCGACCTCTAGAATGATGCAAATGATGGATAGAAATAATGTCAAAGACAGTGAATATACGAAGCTCACAGTAAAGCTAGCACCAGCTACTTCTGAAAAAACTTGACTTTGAAAGACAGAAGAGGGTCAAGAGAAAAGAATCTGAAGAAGACACTAACCAACATAAAAGCTGTTGGCCACTGCGCTAAAGAGGATTCCTTTGAGATCGTTAATTGTATTTTAATCTTCTCGTTTGTAACCGACTCTTCTCTGTGTCTCTATAAGAGCTCTTTATATTTTTCTGTGTGTTGATTAAAATGTGTTTGTTTTGTCTCCTGTCGTTTTAGTGTATATTGTGCTATTTCTAACTGTTCTATTTGATGTCTTTGGGTCTCTACTAGTTTTCCATCTAACGTTTTCTTCTTCTTCTTCTTCTTCTTCTTCTTCTTCTTCTTCTTCTTCTTCTTCTTCTTCTTCTTCTTCTTCTTCTTCTTCTTCTTCTTCTTCTTCTTCTTCTTCTTCTTCTTCTTCTTCTTCTTCTTCTTCTTCTTCTTCTTCTTCTTCTTCTTCTTCTTCTTCTTCTTCTTCTTCTTCTTCTTCTTCTTCTTCTTCTTCTTCTTCTTCTTCTTCTTCTTCTTCTTCTTCATTTCTTCTTCTTCTTCTTCGATTCATCGATTCTTCTGTCAGAAAACCTATTATATCAGGAGAGCAGTAACCTTCATGAAAGCTACCGCGCAGTCCCTATCTTCTCGTGTACTATGTAGTTTTGTCTTCATTGTGGTTGGAACAGGCCAGATTCCGCCTCTTTTGTCAGCACACAGTTGACAGTGTTGGAGCACATGCTCAGCATTTTCTCCTGCTAAGTTGCAGGGGCAGGTCTCCGTGTTTCCTACACCGAAAAGTTTGAATATATCTTGACGATACAACTCTGAAACTTGGAGCATAACTAAAAACAAGATAAAGCCTTATTACAGGTTTTCGAAAACAGAGTCTTACGGCGAATCTTTGGATCCATCAAAGATGCAAACAGCGGTAAATGGAGAGTGAGAAGCAACAAAGAAATTCATATGTGTAAATCACCACTGATCACTGGCATCATGAGAGCTAATAGACTGAAACGGTTGGGGCATACTGGAAGAATGTCAGATGACAGAGAAGTAACAACTGTATACACCAGGGAGAAGAATGGTCGTAGACCACGAGGCAGACCAAGAAGACAATGGAGAGATAATATCCAATCAGGCCTGCAAACACCTGGTTTCAACAGCTGGAAAGATAAGGCCAATCAGAGAGATGAATGGAAGCGGGTGATATCTGAAGCAGTGAACCTCAAGGGCTCGGAATGCTGAAGAAGAA